ACTAACATTGATATTTTTCATCTTAATCATAATTCCAGCTTTGTTTATCGGATTCATAGTTAAATGATCAATGATTCATGGCCCTGGGTAAATTCTATGAATTGATGAATCCTATTTTTACTAAATTTGGCAAACACAACTGCTGTGTTTAATTTAGGGAGAAGCCATATTTGTCAACAAGCTCACTTGCATCAACCAAAAATCACAGTATTGTGCAGGTTCATAACATCCTTCATCATTGGACCTTTTTTTTTTGAAGAAAACACTGCATCTGAGCCAGTGACATGTTCTGTCAATGCCACTAGATATGGAGACACTTCAAAGTTCTGTCATCCTTGCACTTCAGCAATGAAATTGTTTGGATACCTCAATCTTTATGCAAGATGGAGCATCAACGTGCAACAGTTATTCCATCAGCACTTCATAATTGAAAGAGTGAACCAATGATTTCCAATAGTACAGGCACTATATCACCAGATTTAACTCCTTGTGTATTTTGTTATGGAGATATTTGAAGAGACTTGTTTATCAATGTATCTAATATGCAAATTGCAGTAACATTAGCACCAAATTTCCCATCAGGAAATTCTGAAACTACACTTTTTATTAATGAAATTGAAATTTCATGATCTGATCAAGAAAGTATGCACACCAAATTTGGTTGCATTTGGTCCATTAGTTTTTACTATACAGATCTATAAATACCTACTCTTCAATTATAACTGCTCTGCATTACATTCATACTTAATTCATTGCTAGTAAAATAAACCTACATCTATTTTTATTATTACAGTAAAACCTCGTTATGTCAAATTTCATTAACTCAACAAGTTGTCCACAGGTCTGAGCACAGTGTATAGGGTTTTCCATATAGATCATAATAGTCTCATTAAATCAAAATTGCCAATACTTTTAATCCAAACCTATTTTTCCATATGCCATCCACTCTTTGATAGGTCCATGATTTTCATCTTCTCTTATATTCTGTGTGAATAAGGCTTCATGTTGAAAACATTATCATGCCATCATAATCTTGCATAGACTTCCTTTTACTGAAACAACATATTAGCAGCATTCTGATTGGGACATGAAAAGGTAGCAAAATTGCTATAAACTTTATACAGTTTTGTATCGTGCTATGAACAGATTCTTGAGAAATGACTTGATAATGGGAAATTTATAGCCACAAAAAATTTGGGAAAATTAATATTAAATTCATTAACCTGAAGTTAGGATTTTTTTACCCCTTAAACTTCAACTTACTGTATTATTTTTATCATATATCAGCCATGACTGCTTTTAGGTCTCCCAGTCTACCTGAGAGTTAAAAAAAAAACAGTTAACAAAGAGTTATATATATATTAAAAAAAAAAAATAGAAGACTTTATGTATAGTATGTGCTTTCACAAGCTTTATTTTCAATTTCAATCAAATTTTTCAGTACCATTTCAATTATATTTGTTTTATTTTATTTTCAAGAAAAGAAAGCAAAAAATAAAATCTTGTACAGGGCATATGAAAAGCAAGTTACAGCAGTGGATAAAATTATAAATTTCTTTTCACATTAAGCATTTTTTATTCAATATGTTTTGCTTCACACAACTATGTTATGCTATTACATGCATAAAAATTTTAAACCTTTAATTTTGAATCAATTTTAATACATAATTCTCAAATATGAATATTATATGAATATTTGACAATTATGTATTGATAATCTATAAAGATCAAAAGATTAGTTTTGTTTTCTTTATTTCTAGCAGAATATTTGAAATTTCAAATATGTCTGAATGATACATGTTTCACAAGTTGCCAAATAGTAATTTCCTGAAAATACTTTTAGAATTTTCTCTCAAATTATAATATCTTATTACAATATACCTAATGCTTGTTTCATTTATTCCAATAAATGTTCAGGAAGAAAAACTGTAATAGAAGGAACGAGAATTGTAAAATTAGCAAAAAAGTAACTTTTGACTAAAAACCAGACAAAGTGACTTTTATTAAAATACCAACTAAAGGAGACAAAAGTGACTGAGTAGGAGACCTTATTTTGAAAATTACTTATTATATTTACATTTATCAGCAATTTATTCAATACATCACCTACAAATGAAACTTCAAACTTTATAAAATTTCCTATATTTATGATATCTATTGCATTCTACAATCCATGTTATAAGAGTAATTTATAAAAGTATCTTCCAAGAACAATTCATTATTTTCATACTTATTATCCGTAACTATTAACTAAAGAACTGTATAGACAGGGTGAGACCAGCCATTTGGCAATTTTGGCAAATGCTACAGAAACCATTGCAGATTGAAGCCAGTTAATAGAGTTCTGGAGTTATACAACAAATGCTTAATTTTAACAATTCATTAGAAATGATTTTTCTAATGAGTCTCAACAATTGTTTCTTTTGATTTCAATAATTGGCATGCATTTGTAATTGGTTAAGCCTAATATTGATACTCGCTTGTTAGTATAATCTTAATTTTGCCACTTATATGCACCACCGTAACTGGAAGGAATAAGCAGAACTCTTAAGTCTTATGCAAATAAGTTGATATGGTTGCTTCAACATGGAGACAAAACTAGTTATTTTTTGTCACATAGCTTCTACTATTGATGATAATTGCCACAGATTGATCATCAATTGCACATGGCATTGTTAATCACTGAATGAAAATATCCCACAAGTTGAATATGCTCTTTATTGAACAGACCACCTACATACTGTCAAAAAGACCTTGAGTCCACCAGTAGGTGATCTACAATTGCTTGTTCAGTTGCAAGCAAATTTTCTTTGGTGTTGAAGGAAACTAATCTGCTTCAATATCAACTCATTTGCACTGTACTGTAGAAGAATATGTTGCTGTTAAAGAAACGCTTATAGATTTATAATTACTTTAAGATTTGCTTATAATGACCAGAGGCAGGTGAAATACAACAAAAAACTGCAGACTAGTCATCCAATAACTGTGGAAATTCTGTAAAAAACATTACTCTCTTCATTTCTAGTAAAACAGACTTATTTTAAATGGGTTTGAGACAGACAATGATCTTTTATTGTCCATTCTCTAATATAATCAATGCTTTTGCAATAGTACTTGCAAAAAAGTAGGTTTCCACTTTCATACATTCCTTCATCTTGGAAGTTGCTGACCTTTAGCTGTTATGTTAATAGCCAAATGACTTTCTTGACCATCCTCTTTGCATATGGAGTAGCCGTTTACTACAGCATTTTGTGACAGCTGCACAAAACCAAGTGTAAATGTATAGTAGTAGTGAAACTTAAGTTTATAGTTTTAAAAATCCAATATCCTCTTGCTTTAGGTCTTAGCAAAGTCTGAAATTTTACCCATCTGCGGAACAACTGAGAATAGAAAATTCCACAGGTCTACAGATCTACAAATATTAATTAAAACATATTATTTTTAGTTAATATATTTACTACTATCATAAATAACAAACACCACCTAAAGAAAAAGTGCTCTGCATAATTTGTCTGACTGTGACCTATACAGAATGCTAATAGAAGTTGACAAAAATAAAATATTGACAGACATATATTCATTTTTATATTGTCATAATACAATAATCAAATTTACCTTTCAAACATTAAAATTTCATTAAAAAAATTTATCATCAAAATGAAAATAAAGAAATATATCATCATTAAACAGTGTGACAGAATAATTTGACAACTTCTCTTATCAATTTATTACAGTTACTCTTTTAACATTAAGTATCTCACTTTTCTCAATAATTCCATAATTAATATTAACCTGTTGGATGTTGAATATTTTATCCGTCACGTGTCGCTCCACGTCGAATATTTTTCGATGTTAAGCCTAACGCGATCACACGTTTTAGAAAAATAATAATTGTGGCTATAGTATTATTCTGAATTACTTAATATTTTTTACACACAAAATAGACATATTAGGGAATGTAAAAAACAAAAAATTTTATTTTAAAAGTTAAGTTTTGTGTGATATATCTCAAAACAAGGTACAACACACAGTGGAGCATTACATTTTACACATTGATAACGTGATTCTGCACGTTTTTTGATAGCCGAACATACTTTACATACTCTGGATGGANCGACATAATCACCATTAAGATTGGGGCATTTGTCATATCTGATATGGAAAGAAATATTTTAGTACTTACAATATATACAAGAGCTGTTTCTTTTTCAACTTCCGACAGTTCATAAAACAAAGACAAGAGTAAATAACAAAATAAATTTATTACCAAAAGTTAGGTACAAACATGGTTACTTTTCAACACAATCACCGTGAAGATCGAGGTATTTGTCTATCCATGGACGAGCTTCGAAATCCCCTCTTTGTAGAATGTCGCAGCCAATGACACGAGATGGGTCCTAACATCATTTTGAAGATCATCATTAGTCTCAAACCTGTGTCCTCCTAGTCACATTTTTTCAATTCAGGAAAGAGGTGAAAATCACTCTGTGCTAAATTGGGACTATACACTGGGTATTTAAAGATGGTGAAAACTTCCACCCAGCTTGGAACTTTTTAATGTGTGAAGACTTCTGCCTCTTTCCTGAACTGAAAACATGGCTAAAAGGGCAGAGGTTCGAGACAAATGATCTTCAAAATGACGTTAGGGCCTATCTCGAGTCACTGGTGGCAACATTCTACGAACAGGGGATTTCAAAATTCATCCACAGATAGACAAATGCCTCGATCTTTACGGTGATTATGTCGAAAAGTAACCACATTTGTACCTAACTTTTGGTAATAAATTCATTTTGTTATTTACACTTGTCTTTGTTTTATGGACCGTCGGAGGTTGAAAAAGAAATAGTCTACGTACATCTCCAAACATCACTAAATAAACTAAGATTTATTAACAAATTAGTGTAATTAATAAGTTAATTTATTATGAAATTTAAAATTTAAATGTTTATTTCACTACAACATATTTAATCTTCAAAGCAAACAAAATATGTTAAACATACCTGAAAACCTTTAATTAATGAACTGAAGAAGGATTACAGATGATAGTTTTTAATTGGAAGGTGTTCTTGATCAAGCTATTCTTCTAATAAAAATGAAAAGGCATAAATGAATGCATTAAGGACTTAAAGTGGTTTCTGTAGGTACAAAGATGGACTCTTGACGTCAGTACATGATGTTTCCAATTAAAACTCGTAAACAAAAGATACAGATCCCAAACTCTAATTGTTGACGGATAAAGTATGTCTTCGTCCGGCGTATGTATTCAGTTTACGTCGTTAACTTGAAAATAATATAAAAAAATTTAAAATATAAATATGGAGCCAAACCTTTTATGACGCCGGACCATTTTTTTGTTTGTTAAGTCTTCAGCGCCCTCTTTCCCTCTTTCGACTGACGATGATACTGATAAAAATTGAATTTAAATATCCCACAAGTTGAATATGCTCTTTATTGATTTTCTGAGTAGATAATATATATATATATATTGTATATAATTTTTATTTATTTAAAATAATAAAATATCAAAAGTAATAATTCTGTAATTACTTATTTTTGCTTTTTTTTGTAAACGAAGCCTTTTGTCTCATTTATACAGTATTTAAGTATGTTTTTATCCGTCTTACAAGTTAGTGGGCACTAAGAGTGCCTCTTTAAGCAGCCCATTATGAGTTCGGCCAGGCCCACAATGGGGCAGCCGGATGCCAACATATCCGGACAGATCATCCCCCGAAAAATTCCTTGGATTTTTTTGAGCCGTCCGGATTCAATTCTGGCTCCCCCAGAGAGGTGGACTGACACCTTGACCTCTCGGCCATCCTGCCATCCGTTGATATATTTAAGTGTTATCAATGAATGCTTTGTAACATTAAACAGTAAATGTTAAATGTAATTGTAATCTTATTTCTTGGCAATAATCTATAAGAAATTCTATATTTCGGTAAAGCGATATTACCTTAATTAAATGGACGGCCGGATGGCCGAACGGTCAAGGTGGCAGCCTACCGCTCTGGGGACCCGGGACCGAATCCGGACGGGTCAAGGAATCCCCAGGAATTTTTCAGGGGGTGGTCCGTTCGGATATGTCGGGCCCAGTCCCTCGCCACCCGGTCGCCCCATTGTGGGCCTGGCCGAACCCATAATGGGCGTGCTATAAGAGGCCCTCTTAGTGCCCACAAGGCGAAAAGAGTATAAAAAAATCTTAATTAAATATTACGCACGGTGTCCGAAAATTTTAAAACTAATAGAATTTACACTACATATGCTTTATTGTTTATTCTATTAAATAAATAATAAAACAATGGGATCGGTTATTCTAAATATTAAAATAATAAATTCTAAAAAATTTATTATTTTAATATTTATTCTATGTTTACCGTCATGTACAATATAAAATATAAATCAGTGTTTTTCAACCGCCAGTTCACAGACCAGTGCCGGTCCGCAAAAAGTTTCACTGGTCCGCAAAAAAATATTTGACTGTACGAAAGCTGGTGCAGTTGATTAATTAAGGAAGATATTTAAATAATTACTGTGCGTGCTTTATTACCTACGGTAACTCTAGACAAGCATATATAAGCTTAATAAATAAACATAATTCACAGTCGCATATAATTATTTGCATACCCAACTTAAACCCAAGTCTACACATCTAAGTCGTAGCACCGAGAATCACCCGAGAAAAGAAAATTTTATAGGAACCTCGTCTCATATCTAAACATTGGCAACTTAGTGTCTTCATCTCGGAAAAAGATACTTTAGATTGAAAGAAAAGATAAGTAGCTTTCTTGGCTTTCAGAATTGTTCGCGATGTAGCACCACGACATGCACGTTACCGATTACGATTACGCGAGTAATCAGTAACGTGCCTAATGTCCGTGCCTAATTAATTATATTATTATAGAAACAGTTTTATTTTATTTTTGACATGAAAACACTAGCATAGTAGTAATCAATTTTGCCATTGCCAGTGTCATACGTCGCGATTTGTCCAATTTGGAACATGCATACCCGATAGAAAATTTTCCCGGAATATCCCGATTTTTCCATTTATACATGAAAATATTCCAATTTGTGTTAAAAACAGTCAACTAAGAATAATAGGCGAATGTGTCTGCGAGTACATATGCGTACAGCGTTTATTAATCTGTAGTGTGTGTGTCGTGTTTAGTGTTGTGCGATGGTTTCTTATAATCATCGACAATGGATCAATGGTTACGTCTAGCTATAGTCTAACTTTTATTTATATACTGTGTTTATTTTTTTTTACTGTTTCCGTCATGTGAGCACTATCAGGAACTTTATTTTTTAATCATATCCATCATGGATTTGGCCTTGCACGCAGCGGCAACCGCTAGACTTTCTAACTAAAACTTAGTTGAAATATGTAAGTAAAACAAATACGATTGGTTCAAGAAATGTTTGTTTATTAAGTTAGGCAACGCAACACTTGGGCGATCTGCCTAGAGAAGATGCATTTCGGGAAGTCTTTTTAAGTGTAACTGGACTCTACTCAGGCGTTACAGACATGGAGAAAACCCAGAAAACTCCATGTGGCCAGCCCGTCCTAGCGAAGCGCGAACTCCCAGTGTTCAGGGAACGGAACCACTTAACCTCTGATGGGCTCGGTTCAAGAAATAATAAAAAATGTTTAATATTTGATAATTCAATAAAATTAAGTTAGTTTAATTAGAATTAATCACTTATTTTATACAGTAGCTATTTTCTAACTAATGCTGGGTATAAATTTTACCACAATGTTACCGAAAAATCTATGAAAAATTGACATTGATCCAAAAGAGATTCGAATCTCGATACATTTGTTCTATTGCTATAGCGTAGAAAAAAATTATCCTATTAATTTATCTTATAAAGAGGATCTTCTATCGCTGTAGCAATAGAAAAATATTACTTACCACTTAGCAATCCAGCCAGTATAAAACAAAAAAAAAAAAAAAAAAAAAAAGAGATATCCCTTTGAGTCTAAAAAGTCTTTTGTGCCGGGATCGATAAGTTATATCCAATTATCTGCGGAGCGGGAGACAATATATTTACTTCCCCGCAGATTGAGTTTCGGATATGTTCATGTAATATGTCTGTAGCGTACAGCTCTTTTAATTAAGTTAATTAACAGGGTTCAGTAACGCCACGCAACATAAATTCAACAATAGGAACATTGTTCTACCCTCAGTTAAAATCCGAGAAATTCAGGAAATCACAACTCAGTTTTGATTCCAAGTTCACAGACAAGAAAAGCCGAAACTAAGCCGTTACAATACAACCTTATACAACCATAAGTAATAAATTTTCGTAAAATAAATCATTCTTGAAGCAAGAAGCTTCGGTTTTTTTTAGATCATTGCTCGGAAGACGTCATTGATATTTATTAACTCGAAAGTTTCCACTCTGAATCCGAAATAAAATTTAAAAGAAAGAATAATCATCGTAAAAAGAATATTAATATTGATATTGTTAATATTTATTTTTAAATATCAATGGGTCATCTCCCTCTATTGGCAGCATTCAGAAGCTAAGAATTGATGGCGATGGAAGNGCAAGAAGCTTCGGTTTTTTTTAGATCATTGCTCGGAAGACGTCATTGATATTTATTAACTCGAAAGTTTCCACTCTGAATCCGAAATAAAATTTTTGCATTTGCCCTACAATTCGCAATATTAATACTCTATCCGATTTTTAATATTTATTTTTAAATATCAATGGGTCATCTCCCTCTATTGGCAGCATTCAGAAGCTAAGAATTGATGGCGATGGAAGCGTAGAGAGGACAGAAAAGCTCAATTAGTATTGATGTATTAATTACGGCATATATGATGCAGAAATATGAAAAGTTAGAAAAAATTGGAGAAGGTAAACGTTTAGATTGAAATAGAAAGTTTTTTGGTAAATAACTATCAAAGACATATGATCTTTGGAAAACATCATTTGACCCTTAAGATTGTATATCATAATATAAACATCTGAATTGGAGATGCTGAGAATATGTAAAGTTATGTTTATGTATAAAGCAATTAGGTGTTTTGATTAAGTAAATTTTGAATTATATCAAAATTTCTTTTTAAACTTGAACATTATAATAAATGAATGAATTTATTGGAATAAGTAATAGAAATTTTTGATTGACATTTAGCATCATTTTTTGGATTATTAAATGATTACATTTAAATGATTTTATTAATTTAATAACTATATATATAGTTATTATTATATCAGGTTCATAACATCCTTCATCATTGGACCTTTTTTTTTTGAAGAAAACACTGCATCTGAGCCAGTGACATGTTCTGTCAATGCCACTAGATATGGAGACACTTCAAAGTTCTGTCATCCTTGCACTTCAGCAATGAAATTGTTTGGATACCTCAATCTTTATGCAAGATGGAGCATCAACGTGCAACAGTTATTCCATCAGCACTTCATAATTGAAAGAGTGAACCAATGATTTCCAATAGTACAGGCACTATATCACCAGATTTAACTCCTTGTGTATTTTGTTATGGAGATATTTGAAGAGACTTGTTTATCAATGTATCTAATATGCAAATTGCAGTAACATTAGCACCAAATTTCCCATCAGGAAATTCTGAAACTACACTTTTTATTAATGAAATTGAAATTTCATGATCTGATCAAGAAAGTATGCACACCAAATTTGGTTGCATTTGGTCCATTAGTTTTTACTATACAGATCTATAAATACCTACTCTTCAATTATAACTGCTCTGCATTACATTCATACTTAATTCATTGCTAGTAAAATAAACCTACATCTATTTTTATTATTACAGTAAAACCTCGTTATGTCAAATTTCATTAACTCAACAAGTTGTCCACAGGTCTGAGCACAGTGTATAGGGTTTTCCATATAGATCATAATAGTCTCATTAAATCAAAATTGCCAATACTTTTAATCCAAACCTATTTTTCCATATGCCATCCACTCTTTGATAGGTCCATGATTTTCATCTTCTCTTATATTCTGTGTGAATAAGGCTTCATGTTGAAAACATTATCATGCCATCATAATCTTGCATAGACTTCCTTTTACTGAAACAACATATTAGCAGCATTCTGATTGGGACATGAAAAGGTAGCAAAATTGCTATAAACTTTATACAGTTTTGTATCGTGCTATGAACAGATTCTTGAGAAATGACTTGATAATGGGAAATTTATAGCCACAAAAAATTTGGGAAAATTAATATTAAATTCATTAACCTGAAGTTAGGATTTTTTTACCCCTTAAACTTCAACTTACTGTATTATTTTTATCATATATCAGCCATGACTGCTTTTAGGTCTCCCAGTCTACCTGAGAGTTAAAAAAAAAACAGTTAACAAAGAGTTATATATATATTTAAAAAAA